TGCAGCGGGCTGATTCGGCGTCTTCTGCGTGACTCAGGACCTCGGTAGGGCGTGCACAGACTTGCCTGTCTGCAGCGGGCTGATTCGGCGTCTTCCTCGTGACTCTGCCATGTTTAGCTTTGTAAGACACTGACAAATGGTTTTCCAAACTAGACAGTGAGTCCTGTCTCAAACCACTCCCCACCAAAGCTAAACATACACCTGCCATCTGACTGTCATTCTATTTCTGGGTATTTACCCAATATAAGTGAAGGCATACATCAACACAAAAGGTGTGTACGGTTTTGTTTTGAGACAGGGTCTCACTATGTAGCCCAGGCTGGCCTTGAACTAAGAGGAATCTTCCTGCCTCAGCTTTCTGAGTGCTGGGATTACAGGTGTTTGCCACCATGCTTGGCTAGGTGTGTAGGTTTGTAAGCAAATACTTGCAACAGTTTTATCCCAGAAGTGGAAAGCATCCAAATGGATAGGTGAAGGCAGGAAGGTGGGGTTACACAGGAGATAGGAGTAACGGCTATGCCCAAGTGATGGTGTCATGGGCATATACGTATGTCAGCATTTATAAAGCTGAACACTTTAAAAATGTGCAGTTTATGGTATGGCAATTATACTGCAATAAAACTAAAAAGTAGAAAAAGGGGGAAAAGTATGGTTACAAATAAGACAGGTCAAGGAAGAAGGGTGCTCATGGGAAACTTCCGGGCTAGTAGCCCCGGGAGGGGAGCAGGTTGATGGGGAGGCTGGAGAGCTGTGTGGGAGAGTTAGGTTCCCTTCTGCACTCTGGCCACAGAGGTCCCAGCCAGACTGGGGGACTGATACATCTTCCAAGTAAAGAATAAGATATATTCTTTACAGACTAGGATGATATACTTTGAAGATACTTGATTAGGCTGTGAAATCACTCTCAAGCGAGAGCTCTGATCGCCGGGCCTTCAGGTGAGTCAAAAGGTCAATGTGAACTTTCCAGCCAAGGTGGGTGCGGAAAGCTTTCTGTGCAGCCCCAGCATCTTCCTTCTGGCTGCCACAGAGTGGAGAGCGCTGTGGGGCGCAGGCTCTGCCGAGGGGGACCCTGCGTGGGCTGCGCCCTGGGGTGAGGCAGTTTTTCAAGAATTGATTTGCAGAAACCAACCAACAGTTACAACAATCACTCATAAGGGGAAGCTTCACTTTACAAAGCAGCTGGTAGGAATCTTAAAAGTTGTTTAAAATTATTTAAATCAACAAAGGGAGCTTATATTTAAATAATTGCAGAGAATGCTTCTGTAATATAGATAAACCAACAACCCAAGACACTTTTTTATTTGTTTGCTTCTATTTTTTTGTACCAGGGATTGAATTCAGGACCTCACACTTGCCAGGAAAGGATTGTGCCGCTGAGCTATATTCGCTGCCCTGTTTGCTTGTTTTTTGGGGTCTTGCTTTGTAGTTCAGGCTGACCTTGAACTCACTGTGACCTCCCTGCCTCAGCCTTCTGTGTGCTAGGATTAAGGGTGTGCACCATCATATATAACCAGTCCCAAGCTATATATATATATATATATTT